GTACATTTTAGGTACATTTTTTTAGTAAGTGGTATAATTTAATTCGCGATGGTACACCCGCCATTTTGACTCTCACCTTAATTTACTATGCCCTGGGCGGGTCGCCCTACCATAAAAACTGTACCTCATAAGTATAAAACTGTAGTAGAAGTAAGTTTTTTTGTTGTTGAAGTTGCAATGTTAAGTTTTTCAATGTTAAATAAAAAATAAAATAACATGCTGTTTTATTTTATTATAGTTCTCCGAATTAGTGATTATAGTGTGTCTAAATAAGATAGATTAGTTTGACAATTCCTGTAACAATTGAGTAGGGATGGGTTGTGTAAAATCAGTCATGTATTTTATCGATTTTCGATTTTTATTCTTATAGAAGTTGGAATCGAAAGATTCATAGTTAAAACATGAATTAAAAAAAATAATTTCTTAATTCTCTACACTATAATCAATACTAGTATTGTCCTATAAATAAGTGAATAAGAAAATAATAATTTTAGTTGAGATCGATAATTATTTAAACCGAATATCGATAGTTCATAATTGTTCGCTGCGTGTTTCGTCACTACGATACCTGTCTAAATACGGCATTTGTCTTCATACAAATGGAATTCGATACTTCATATGCGTCATTTATCAAACTAATCTATCTTATTTAGACAAACTATAACCTCAGTGCGTTCTGTTACGCACAGGTGTCCTACAAGTTGGGCAGATGTTGTTGATTTTTAACCATTGAGCGACACATTTCTTGTGGAATGCGTGTTTGCAAGGCAGGACCGCAACGTCCATGTCGTCGAGGCAAATTGAACATTTATCGCATGTCGCTACACTGTTGAGGCTAAAACAAAAAAAACATTAAAGATACAATTATATCTTACTAATATTAAAAATGCGAAAGTTTAGATGGATGGATTTTAGAGTTTGTAGCCTAAACGGCTGAACAGATCACTATGAAATATGGTATAGATGTAGAGGATAGTCTAGATGAACACAGGCTACTCACTTTCCTTTTTTTCTAATTCCACGCGGGCGAAAGCTAGTTAACTATAAAATAATACATAACTAAAAAATAAAGTGTGTCTCGAATTAACATCGTACGTAGTAATTCAGTTTTGTCAAGGAAAATGTAACTGAATTTGATTGAAATATCCCTTGAATGTACCATAGACACCAAATCAATAAATCAATGAAAAACTTTGTCTATGAATGTTATCAAATGTCAGTGTCAAAATGAAATGAAAACAACGTAATAACACACAATGTTATGTAGTTTTAATTTATTTTAAAAATATTGCATAATCAAGTGAAAAGTTACTTAATCTATTATCCCCATTATCTTTTCAATAATGATATAAAGAAGAAAGTATGTTACATTTGTAGCTAACTAAACCGGATCAAATAATTTAACAAGAATCGTTTTTATTAAAATTACTGTACATTACTTGTGACATAGTCGATTTTAAACAGTTTACAGACTTACTATTTTTGAGATTGAGAGGCTTGTTGTGTTCCATTCGAAACGTTACATTGTGGTCCTTCGGTAGAATTTTTTCCAACGAAATAACCAATTGCGGAAGCCGCTGCA